GAACCCCTATGTTCCACTAGGAACCCAAGGGAACAATAAAAAAAAATTATTATTAATATTATTATCATTCGACGTAATGTATGCCCTTCATGCAAACATCCCTTCAATGTACTTTTGGTTTTTATATAACTGAGTAATTGTCATTAGCCTTATTTTATTATTGTTAAACATGTTGCTAGTTGTAAAGCGGTTGTAAAAATTCTACGAGATGACGATATCATCTCGCGGCGAAATTTGTCTTCTAAATGCTTTATTGAAATTTATCAAAGGGACTAATTGTCTTAATTAGATCTATAATTGAAAACATTTATTTCCCGAAACGAATTTAAAACAAGCAATAAAGGTTAATAAACCAGGATTTAATGAATTCATCAAATTTCAGTAGAACTCTTCAGCTGCTGAATACTCTGCATACACGGATATATAAATACTTTTGAAATTACATTAGGAGATATAAGACTGATAAGCAAATAAACTACATTGAATTAGTCATGCAGAAAGACAGGTGCGAATGTTTTCCAGGTCATGTTCAAATAGATAAGGCGGGAGAGAGACAGTATGAGAGATCAAAATTAAGATAAATTGCATTACGCCTCAATTACATCACTTGCCGTTCAAAGGAGATGATGTACAGGAAGAAGTCAAACGAAGACTCGAATAAGCCATCAACAGAGCTTATTATGCTGCGAAAATTGTTATCCTTAACACCACCAAGCGAGTGCTTCAACAATCTGGGAAAGACCAGTCAGTAGCCAATCTTTGACACCCCTAAAACTGCGTATATCAATTTGATGTGTTTGTGGAAGCAAATACGTATAGGTCGTACGGAAAGGCGATTGTCTACTCATCGCATGATGGAACATTTGCCAAAATGGTTGAAAACAGCTGAATGCGAAAAGTGCCAAAAAACCTCAATAATAAAACACCTTGTGTACTATGGACATGATATCGACACTGCCAAGTCACTCACTGTTATTGTCAGCAGACAGACAACGAAACAAGAAGATGCTTGGAATTGCAGAGGAGGCTCGTGCAACTCGAGTTTATAAACCAGGTCTCTGTGTACAAAAGGCGATGGTCATAACTCTGAATCTACCTTGGTAATACGTTTTACTTATTACCCTTTACTTATCATTATTATTCTAGCTCATTATTATTATTATTATTCTCGATTTACTTAAAACTATCCTTTATCAGTAGGATTATCTTAACTCACTTCAACACTATTAAAATTGTTATTATAACTATTTCTATTGATATTAGTCTGTTTGCAATTCTCGTTATATTCTCTAATGTCTAATTGTTTATCTAAGTGATGTATAATTGAAGCGTAATGCAATTTATCTTAATTTTGATCTCTCATACTGTCTCTCTCCCGCCTTATCTATTTGAACATGACCTGGAAAACATTCGCACCTGTCTTTCTGCATGACTAATTCAATGTAGTTTATTTGCTTATCAGTCTTATATCTCCTAATGTAATTTCAAAAGTATATATATCCATGTATGCAGAGTATTCAGTTGACGAGTTCTGCCGAAATTTGATGAATTCATTAAGTCCTGCTTTATTAACCTTTAATGCTTGTTTTAAGATCTATAATTTCCCCAGTATATTTACTACACACCTTGCCGTATGATATTTTAAATTTAGACGGAGAATGAATTTGATATGTAGTCACCGTGTGATATATTTTGCTTAATGTTTATTGATGGTTATTCCATTATAACTCACGCTGTATATCTTGTCTGTCCATTAACAAAGCAAACAATGTATGACCTTGGTCACGTGATATTACAACCAATCAGAATCCAGTCTGGAGGGGGTGAGAAAAACTACTTACAAGTATTGGTTTGTAGGGATTTGGTTGATTGGTTACAGGATTTCATCATCAGCTGACATTAGTTAGAGGACCATTGGAAAACCTGGGAGTACTGGACAGCTGTTTCGCCCCAGTTTGGGACTCTTCAGCAGTACGCACCCAGTCACTACCACGTTTTCCAGTGGTTCTCTAACCAATGTCGGCTCATGATGAAATCCTGTGACTAAAAACTACTTTATCTGTTTTATGATTGGTTCATGTGTGTTAGTTTAGTTATTTCCTATAGACTTTTGCATTGTACAGTTAATTCACACTCTTTCGTACTTTTCCACTCACACTTTTGTGTGACAGTTAATTTCCTAAGTTGGAAAATACACGCATCCATTCGTGAACGTGGGGGTGGTCTTCTGATTTTCCCTCTTTGCGTCAGGACAAATTAATTGGTCAGCAGTACCAGTGTGTACATTATCGTCCGTTATATCTCATTAGCGCATATTTACACTCGGTCAAACCATAACATATTAACCATAAGTTCATAACAGAATTATGTCAATATTGTGGTGAGCAATAATGAAGATGATGTAAGCAGTGATACTGCTTTCATGAAATTCCTCAAAGAATGTCAATACATTAGACCATCCATGAGGTTTGTATTAGGTTAGAGAAACAGTGGGGTTAGAAAATCTGTGGGTCAGTTCAAAATTGTTCTTGAGTCCAGTCTGTGAATGAAGTTGTAATATTTTTATGCAAAGCGTACATTCAAAATCTTGTAGTGACGTCTTTCCAAGTGGTACGTCAGTTATCCCCGAAATTTTAATGAACTGTCTGTTTGTTTGTTTTTTCAGATGAAGCCACAACATGTATTTTCAATCTTTTCTGTGGTCAAAGAACTGGTAGAGAAGCAAACCAAAACCATCAAACTGATTGCCGCGATTGTGAAAAATGTAAATATTTTGGGATGAGGAACTCAGGTTAGTTACATCTGTTTAGTGAACCACATAACATCCACAAACAACAACTGAACGTAGCATGACAGTGTGGATGGATGGTTTACCCGCGTACTTTTCTCTTAACCAGTCATCACTCAGTGTTGTCTGATCAGAAACATTAAGATGTCTTTATTAATTTCAAAGGAATTTTCCCGTCTCGGAAAACTCAACTCATTATCCATCACAATTACAGCCTTTAGGAGTGCCGTTTGAAGTAATTCAGTTTATCGGTTTATATTTTGTTATCTGTAAAAAGACATCTTAAATGATTTTTCGGTGTTTGTGGAGAATGCCCATATTTAAAATGTATTTTCACAAATTCTATATTTGTTTTTTATTAGATATATCACTAAAGAGTGAGTGAAACAGTATTAGTTATTTACTGGATGACAAAGTTTCGAATACACACAATTCATTATTCCTGTTCACAATCATACACATCACCAATTATAATCACACGACTTTGAAACTTGAGTTTTATACTTTCCTTTGTCTTCTCCTATTTCTCGTCATTGGGGTAGTCATATTCTCCAGGCAATTCAATACACTTATGAATTGGAAATTCAGGAAGAGGAGCTTCTAATGTTAGATTGCAGCGTGAAAAGAAAAGAAGACGGAAAGTCAAATACTAGTGTTTACAGGAAACCCACACATTCAAACAGATATTTGCACTTCCAGTCATCCCACCCAATCTATGTCAGTGAAAATAAGATTGGTGAAATGGTTAAATGACAACAGAGCACAAAAACTAAGCACTACCAAGGAAAATCTAAGACAGGAAGTGATCCACGTATAAGAGAAGCCTTGGAACTACTTAATAATTAACCTGATAAATTAGTCAGGAAATATGTAAGGAAATGTAAAAATAAAATAAATAATGATAGCAGTGATAGTAATAATAATAATATTAATGACAACATGCATGTCAAATGTGCACAGGATAATGACAACACCAAAAATAAGGAATCTAAATCATCAGTAGTAATTCCATACAAGAAAGAAACCTCGGAAACCAGCTTACAGCGGAGAATTCTTAACAAGGCTGGCAGGGATAAAAGTGGCTGGTATTCAAATCAAACCAACCACAAACTCAATTAGAAACAAGCTTTGTCGGTTAAACCATCAATCCTGACAGTGGAGCCCCTAACTGACAAAACAGTTTAGTTTATCTCTAATCCGCTGTCTACTCTGATTGTCAAGTTAAATACGTAGGTCAAAGTAGTAGAACAGCGTCAGTCAGTGAGTCAGACTAGACGAGCATAAACACCCAGCAGTAACATCTAGATCAGTTGACCAAACCGAATAAGATAAGAAATCTAGAGACGAGTTCAGCAGCTATCTCAACCACTACATGCAATTACACACAATCTACCATACAATAGGCTGTATGGGATCGGATGGCAGTTTTAAAATCTAATACAACTAACAGGGTGGCGAGTGGGGAATGTTGATTGATAACGGAAGCTTTGTTTATCGAATCAACTGCAAATACATGTAATAGGAACGATTCAAAACCTGTCCACCCAGATATCTGAAAAATTCTACTACTCTTACGAAGACAAATAGGAGAAGACAAAGGAAAGTATAAAACTCATGTTTCAAAGTCGTGTGATTATAATTGGTGATGTGTATGATTATGAACAGCAATAATGAATTGTGTGTGTTCGAAACTTTGTCATCCAGTAAATACTGTTTCACTCACTGACTGTGTGGTGATACATCTAATAAACAAAGTAATTTAGAATTACTTACTACCACTACCACGCTGTCCAAGTTCTATATATATATATATATATATATATATATATATATATATATATATAGAGAGAGAGAGAGAGAGAGAGAGAGAGTTAGTTCATTGTTGATTATTGCACAAAAGTCTGTTGAAATTAAATATCTATTTTTATTCAAAAAATCCTTCTAGACAGGAATCTCTGAATAACAACTTTTTATATATTGTCAGATAAAACATACTCCATTTATCTAAACTTACAGTCTCAAAGAAAATAATAATTCTCAAGAATTCAGGCATCGTATTACACATTTTGATGACCAAGCTGTGCCACGAATGATAAACGAAAAAATTCGAATAGTCCGCGCTAATGAAAAATGAATTGATTTTTCCCAGTGTGTTAAATCATCATCTATTTTCGCCTTTTCATTAAATATTAGATTAAACGTTTCCACACATTCAGTATGAGTTATTATTATCATTATTACTAATATCAGTTTGTTTATTTCCAAACGAATTCATCAATTCATCATTCGGATCATCTTTCCAATCATCGAATGTTTTATAATTATTCGACATAAATCTTAACCGCATAATTTCTCTCTGTGTCATTGGTAAAGGATCTTCATAAGGACGTGGATCACAGCCATGACGACAATAACACTCGGCTGTTTTTTTCTCTTTTTCCAAATATTCAGTTGGATCACGATAGACAAATTCTTCAAGTAAACGTCGTGGATGTAGGGGGGTTAAATTCTCAATAATATTTCTATATTTGGTTAATCTGCTTCCTTCATCAAAACAAATTGGCCTGTACTTGAACTAATATTAAGAAGTTTAAAACCTCAATAAACAATCAGCGCTTACGTTGTTCAACTTTGGTGGATTACAGTCAATATCAGATGGATGCCAATCCATTCTACGCAATCCACTTTCATCATATTTCCATAATCGAAATGGTTCCAAAGGTTTCTTTACTCGATCAAGGTCTTGTTTAAAGTGGATTCGACCACTTGGTTTATCGAGTTCGTCAATTTGTGGTGCCTAAAATACAGTATTATTTCCAAAAAAAACTGACCCATTCAGCGCATTTAAAGTATGTCGATGGATGATAGCCCGGTAGACAAAGCCATTTCGCTTTTTCTTCCGCAGTCGTACACTCATTCGGATCATATTTACAATATTCATTAATTAATCCTACTCGGTGTGAAGTCATTTATTAACGAGAAATATCGATCAATTATTTATTGATCGGATTATTTTAATATTATAATTGTGAAGTTAGTTATACATAATACCACTTATATACAAAATGGTACTGTATAACAAACTTTGATGACTGAAGACGTATTGATTAGTAATTCTTGTAAATCTGAGGAGTCTAATTTAGGATTTATCCAGAAGGGATACTACTTTTTCGTATTTGTGGTAAAAATTATAAAGGGGAAAGTGTCTATTTTCCAAATATGCGGATGTTGTCTATCACTTTGATGAAATAAACTTTGTTCAGTATGCCCATGGTCTAACTACTTCTATTACTATTATTATTGTTCCCTTGGGTTCCAAGTGGAACATACGGCTTCAACTGCACGTCTCCACTTGCTTCTTTCTTCTGCTGCGCTTTTCACCTGCATCCACGTTAGTCCAAACTGTTTCAATTCCCCTTCACACGATCTCTTCCTCCACGTCATCCTTGCACTGACGACCAACCCGTCGCTTCCCATTCTGTCGGGTTCCACTCGAGTAATACCCTGACGCGCGCGCGATGTCACCCAGCGTCGGCCTCCTCAGCGAGTGTCCAAGCCATCTATTCACTTTCTCATGCATATTTGTTGTTGTTAGGAGATTGGTTCTTGTTTTATTTTCTTTGTTTCCATAGTTTCTTGTTTTCGGGGATTCGTTCCGGCCCGCCCATCTGATCTTCAGTACAGAGCGAAGACAGTTAGCTGTTGATAAAGGTAACGTCTGCAACAGGCTTTTGGTGGAAATATTCTTTATGATCAACCCGCCAAGTTTCTGATCCGTTCTGTACAGGAGAACTGACTGATTGACGTGTTTGTATTGAATTTTATTGTTGATATGACGTTGAGTGACGAAGATTCCCAGATTGGTTTCAGGTTGATGTGAATGTGTTTTTTATCACCTTCCCGATTCTCACTCGATTTGACATCCTCATCCGTTCCGAGTGCCTGTAGTTGAGACAATGCTCCCTAGATAAGTAAGTGAATGAAGTCACCTCTTTCAAATCCCTCCCGTTGATGGTGATTGGTGCTGGATGTTGCTGTTGTTGTTGGTTGGTTATTTTCATAACCTCCGTCTTGCCTATGTTCACCCAGAGTCCTGTCTTTGCCGGCTGTTCCTTCGACCAGTTTGTGGGTTTTCGCTTGTAAGTCTTCGGTTTTGTGCGACATCAAACATAAATCATCCAAAAGCGAAATCCAGGTCTTCTAGGTTCTTCACGCCAGTCCAGGATATGCCTGTCTGCTCGTTTCCCGCTGTCTGAAGCATAATCCAGTCCACCACAATTAGGAATATCATTCATTGGCGATAACTAGCAATCACCCTTGTCTGACTCCTGTGTTTACTCCAAACGCCTCGCTGAGTGAGTTTTCCGCTGTGGATCACTTGACATGTGCCGTTGTCGTACAGCTGTTGAATAAGGTTGATGAATATTTGGGCGTTGCACGCCGTAGTACTCGAGTAATTTCCAAATTACTTCGTGATCAATGCTGTCGAAGGCCTTCTCAAAGTCAATAAAGTTGAGGTAGAGGTTTGATTGCCATTCCATGCTTTGTTCGATGATGATGATGCGTAGAGTTGCAATTTGGTCAATACATGATTTGCCTTTCCTGAATGCAGCCAGCTTGTTCTGGTCGGAATTCTGTATCCAGTGCGTCCTTTATTCTCTCTAGTATGATGCGACTCAGGATTTTACTTGGCGTCGACATCTAACTATTTCAATGTCTGTTAATTCCCAGCTTTACTGTACTAAGATGAAAAGCTTTCTATCAGGAATTAGCAAATTGTCTTCGTCCAATGGTCTTAAACTAAATCCTTCCAAATGACAGACCGTTAATTTCAGCTTCCGATGTAAACGAAAGTTAAATGAAGCTGTAGGTTCCTATGACCCTTGCAAAATTGATGATAGTGAGGATATAGAAACCAAGTCTGACGTTAAGTATCTCGGATTAATTCTTTCTTCTGACCTACCTATCCTGGACTTCTCTTATCTTAGCGATTTGTAAAAGAATATTTCGTCTGACGTTTTACATTAAGAAGTTAAGGCACTCAGGCATAACCCAATCAATCCCTCCTCTTACAGTTTGTCAACTCGTGCGCATCTCACCTATTCTTCTTTACTGTTCACCCCTGCTTATTCTCTCCTGCATTGCTTATGAAAAGACTATGTCATACTTCGTAGAACTCTGGAGACTGTCAGTCAGTCAGTCAGTAGGGCGTGTGGTATCCCATTGGGCCATATCGTTGACATTGTCATTCACGATAGGCACTTGATGTCGTGCAACAAATTCACTAAAGAAATTTTGTCAGACTGTGATTGTCCACCATAGCACCCGAAGCTCCAACCTTGTGTCCCCTCCTCAGGTAAAACAAGAAGCCTTTTCAAAAGTTTTTCTGCACGTACGTCTAAGTATAAAAATTCCACTATACCATATTTTACGGCAGTCACTTTCACGTAGAGTCACAAAAATATAACTGATAGGTTTCGGCCAATCATAGAGAAAAAAGCACAGCTAGACCGGCTAAGACTGGAGGAAGACTACCAACTGTCATCAAGTAGTCACTGAGATAGTCTAATGACTACAATACATTCTGCATAGGCTACTGGTGATTAGCTAAAAGTTATAGAGCGAAAAAGCATCAAAAATTCTCTGAAAAGTTGACCGCTATATAACTGAATGATGCTTAAATTTGAAAAAGAGCATGAGTCATCGAAAGACTCCTAAAAGCAGTGGATGAACTACTTACTCACTAGTGCCGCAAACTGAATTGTGTCCTTCAGTGTAAATTAAGCCGTTAATTACTCAGTCAAAAAAGTCGTCTCGCGGTGTAGTAAGGCAAAAATATGATTTCCTTACATTTTTCACTCCTTCACTTAGTCGACATGTCTCATGAATTATGTATGTATTACGCTGAAGAGTCCCAAACAGGCTGACGGAACAGCTGTCCAATACTCTCAGGTTTTCCAATGGTTCTATAACCAATGTCAGCTCATGATGAAATCCTGTTACCAACCAAATCCCAACAAACCAACACTTAAATATCCATTTTTACCGATTAATCAGGATTTCCTATGCATCAGCTAACATCAGACCTGAATTTCGATTAATTTCCCTGAATAAGCTCGGATCAGATTGTCGAAGGAGACATTGGAATTACTCATTTCAATCTCGCTGAGATTTTACAAATTTAATAATTTTTTTACAAATGTCTACTTCTCACTCGGCGCCCAAATATTTTAGAACTATTCTGTTAAATCTTGACGACAGACAATTCATTTGAAGTATTTTGCAATCGAATTAAATTAATAAAAGAAATTATATGTAATTGGTACAATCATTGTGTTTTCACTCTCCGTTCTCTGCAACCCAATGCATATCCTAAATCCGTCCGTAGCTGTCGAGTCATCTGACAACTCCACTAGGTCGAATAAAGTAGCTCAATCTTCAAAAGGAAGACAAAGCAATAAGTTCGATCGACAGGGTGCTTGCTCTTCAACTAAACTCTAGTCCTTAACACCATAATTTTGAAAATACGTCTAATCATAAAATTCTAGATACTAACAGTTTGAAAAGACATGATGGTGTGGTGTGATGTTAGCTGACACACAGGAAATCCTGATTAATTAATAAATAAGAATGGATATGTATCACGAATTGGTAGAAGTTAGAATTCATGCACTGACTGGCGATTGAGGAATCGGGTCCCAGTAAGTAGCTGAATGGTTAACCAGCCAGTTTGCATTGTAACAGGAGGCTCCTGGGTTCGAACGGCATATGGTGGGTGCGTATTTCCGATTACTCCCAAACTAGGATGAAACAGCAGCTGTCCAGTACTCCCTGGTTTTCAATGATTCTCTAACTGATATCAATCCGTGATCAACTCGTAAAAACATAACATAACTTACAAACCAAAACTATATTCTTTCACTCTGTAGATGCATTGTTCAAACGTTCACAAATCCTGTGGAAATTCATAAATAGTCCAAATAGAGGATACGAATCTAAATTTCCCTCCTGATTGGCCGTTTAAAGGAGAATGTTCATAGAATAATTCCTCAGTCTGGCGAAATGTACTTTACTAAAGTTTTCTTCTGAAGATATCAACATTTACAACTAGAGGTTACAAAAAAGAATGTAGACTCCTGGCATAAACACACCAGAAACATTTGAAATCACTCTGCTTAAGATTTATCTATATTCAAAAAGTGAATCTTCAGTCTCAGTTTAATATGGTCATGAGCATCGGATGAATACCTCCACTGTATAACTACTATTGATGCGAATTTTAAAAGTGTTGCCAAATAGTGAAACTTGAGAAATGAAATTATTCTGTAAGTGCTAGTGTGGTGAGAGCAGGCCGTGAGAAAATATGAGCAAGGCTGATTCAACAACCAATCAGAAGCCTGCGTTTGTCTGCCTAACTTCTGATAAACAACCAATCAGATAACTGCGCTTGTCTACTTGCATAAGCTATAATAATGTATGTGAAATATGTATAAATACGTGTTGATTTTTATAATAAAACGATCTGTTGCCTGGCCCTTGTCTTCTGTTGTTACATTTGGTGTCGCTGCCTACCGACAAATGGAAAGCCTATGCCCTGCTGTTTTTGATGGAGACATATGGATCTTCGGGCAGGACTTCAAGGCTTCTGCGCAGTTGAGTGGCGTTCAAGATCTGTCAGCGATGGAGCTGCTACTTGGGACGCTGCTGAGAGGTCGGGTGAAAGCAGCATATGAAAGTGTGAGACGAAATACTGACGAATGTTCGACAGGGTCAGGCAAACAGTTTCCAAAGTGGGAAGGACCACATATGGTCACTTCGAGATGGGATTTCGCGGACACAATCGCTATGACGAACAATGAGAGGCGCGTGAACGTCAGCGAGCTCCAGAAATGGATACAGCGAGACAAGCCAACGATGACGCCTGCACCAAGTAGATCAAGCCGACTTCAGTCGCACGTATTTGACGGGG